TTTTTTGCAGTACCAGGGATTAAACTCAGGACCTTGAGCTAACAAGGCAGGAGCAGTGCCACTGAACTACATCCCCAGCCCCCCTCTTTTTTTTTTAACAGTACTGGGAATTGAATCCAGAGCTTTCACACTGAGCTACATCCCAAGCCTTTTTTAAATTTTTCTATTTTGAGACAGAGTCTCACTACCTTATACCCAGGTGAGGCTCAAATTTGTGACCCCTTCCTGCCTCAGCCTTCCACCACCACACTCAAGTTGGGTTTCGTTTACATGTGACTGCCCACCATACAGGGTGATTCTAGGGACTGAATATAATAATCCATGTAACACACAACGCCAGCCCAGCATATCACATAGTAAGGGCAACCGGCCACAGTGGAGTAATGACAATCCCTATGTGTCAAATCCTCACCAATAGCAAACATGATACAAATGTTTTCACAAGATCATTCTATCAGGATCCAAGAGCACCTTCTGGTGAAAAACACAGGTCCTAGGAAGGCAATCTCATTATTTTGACCTTGAATCACACTACCTGTGGACTTCATTTTTTTAGTGGTTGTGCTTCTTCCAAAAAACTTTTAATTGATTAGAAATTTTTCAAGAAATATAGCTAAATGAAGATACAGTAAAAGTTAAATCTGCCTTCTTTTTTTTTCTTGGTACCGGGGATTGAACTCAGGACCTTGTGCTTGGGAGGCAGGCGGTGGAACCACTGAGCTAAATCCGGGCCCCAAATCTCCCTTCTTGACTCCTCTATTCCCCAGAGCATTTCCTGGAAATACTGTAGAAAGTATTTAAGTGGGCAAATCCCCAAGAGTCCTCACCCCCAACACCACCTCATCCAGAGTGGCTTTGCTTCTGTGTGTCTTAAATACTGGATTCCACAGGTTTTGAAGCAAGGGTTTACTACTGAAATGAAGTTTGAGCCAAGCGTGGTGGTGCATGCCTGTAATTCCAGCACTCGGGAGGCTGAGGCAGGAGGGTCACCATGAGTTGAAGGCCAGCCTGGGATACAGTGAGTTCAAGACAAACCTGGAATACACAGTGAGACCCTGTCTCAAAAACAATCAATATGCTGGGAGTGGTGGCACACTACTGTAATCTCAGCGCCCCAGAGGATGAGGCAGGAGGACTGCTGTGAGTTTGAGGCCAGCCTGGGCTACATACTGAGTTCAAGGCCAGGCTGAACTACATAGCGAGACTGTCTCAAAAAAAAAACAGTAACAATTAATTAAAGTTTGAAAGCCACAGAACTAAATTATTATAAAGATATTATCCAGCTCTAAAACTGTATATTTCTAGTCTACTGAACAAAATTCTCATTTTTCCTATTACATTTTTATCAGTTTTCCATAAGACTTCCCTTGACTTGACTTTACCTCTAGCTCAAGATCCTGAGGTTCCATTTCAGAAAGTGATAGCACAGCAATTTTCGTAACTTTACAGACTTCATGGCCTCCTGGGAGTTTGCCCACCAAAGCTTTCTGCCGAATTAGAATAAGCCACCATGGAAGATCTAGAAGAGAAAACTCACATTAATGCCTGCTATTGAGAGTACTACTGCCTGACAAGTTGAAGGTGAACACCTAACAATACCAAAAAATGTGTGTATCAGATATGATCTTTTTTTTTCAAAGTTTACTAGTACAATTTTTATTTCCAACATTAAATGGATATGCACACAGGCAAGACATGGGTTTGAATTCATTAAGCCCTTATACATAATTATGTCAGATACAATCTTTTAAAGTAAAACAACAAAGATACAAAATGGCCCTTAAATGTGAAATGATGTCTAATCTTACTCATAGAGAAATGTAAATGAGAAAACATTTTAGTATCATTCTTACTCATCAGATTGGGAACCATTAAACATCATGACAACACATCTGCTGGTGAGGCTGTGGGGAAACAGGTAATCTCATACAACAGTGCTGGTGGGAATGGCAGCAAACACAACTTTTCTACAGGGAAATTTAGTGATACCTTAAAACATGTGCCCTTACCTTTTAGCAGCAGCAATCCCACTCTTGGAAATTTACCTTGAAGACCAACAAAAGCCTATAAGATCTACTCACTGCATCAGTTTGTAACTACAAAACACAGTACACACTGGAAACAATCTAAATGCCTAGACACAAGAGTGTGGTTGAGGGCCGAGGATTTAGCTCAGTGGTTTCGGCGCCAGTCTTGCAAGCGCAAGGTTCCAAGTTCAATCCCCGGTACCAAAAAAGAGAGTGGTTGAATAAACTATAATACATCCATAGAATGGAGTAGTAAAAATAGAATTAAATGTCTTCTATGAATTAATAAGGAATTATTCCTGGATGTAATATTAAGTGAATAAACTGGGTATGTTATTAATACATATAATATGGCTGTACAGTCATGTGCCATGTGATGAGTTTCAGTTAATAATGGTAGCCTCATAAAATTATAAAGGAGCTGAAAACTTTTTGTTGTTTAGTGATATCATAATATGATAGCTCAATGTGTTTCTTACAAATGTGTAAACAAACCTACTATGATGCCAGTTGTATAAAAGTATAGCACATATGCTTATATATAGTACATAATATTTGATAATAATAAATGTTACTAGTTGTTATGGCTTATATCTAGAGGTCCCCCAAAGCCTCATGTGCTCATAGTGGGGCTTTTGGGAGGTGATTTGATTATGGGTGTATGATGATGGATTAGTTCACTGATTGGTTTAGCAGAGTTCGGTTGTAGGTGGCACCAACCAATAGGCTTGTAGCCTGAACGGAATAAAAGGGGAAAGAAGGAAAAAGGCATGTTGCTTCCTGCCTGGCATGCCATGGACTATTTCTCCTCTGCCACATTCCTCTGCCATGCTCCCCTGCTTTGCAGGCAGCTGACTATGGACTGAAACTACAAACTGTGGGCTAAATAAACCTTTCCTCCTTTAGGGTATTTTTTTTTTTGGTACTGGGGATCGAACTCAGGGCCTTGCACTTTCGAGGCAGGCAGTGGAACCACTAAGCTAAATCCCTGACCCTTCCTTCTTTAACTTGTGGCTGCCAGATCTTTTGTCCCAGCAATGAGAAAGTAACTAAAATAAGCCAGGCTTGGTGGCACCTGCCTATAATCCCAGCATTTGGGAGGGTGAGGCAGGAGGATTGTCATGAGTTTGAGGCCAGCCTGGAGTACACAGTGAGTTCAAGGCTAGCATGGACTATAGTGGGACCTTGTCTCAAAAAAAAAAAAAAAAAGTAGTAATTAAGACTCTGGTTAATATACATACTGTGCTGTACTTCTTATCATTATTTTATTTGATTGGGTGCATTTGGTTTTTTTCCAATGCTGTGGATTGAATCCAGAATCCCATGCATATTTAGGCAAGTTCTTTACCACCGAGCTACCTCTCCAGCCCTCATTATTCTTTTTTGTATATATTTATTATTTTTATTTACTTAAATAAAAACTATCATTTTAGTTGTATAAATTTATAGGGTATAATGCGATAATTCAGCACATGCATAGAGGTATTAGTCATTTTCCCATTACTGGGAAAAAATACGTGAAACCTGCCATTTAAATGAGAAGTTTATTTTGGCTCATGGCTTCAGAGAGTTTGATCCATGGTCACTGGGTCCAAGGCAGAAACAGCACAGTAGAAGGGCATGGCAGAGGAAAGCTGCTCAACATATGGCAGCCAAGAAGCACAGCACAGAGGGATGAAGAAGGGAGGGACCAGGAAAAGGAACATACTCTTCCAGGTGATACTTCCAGGGACCCACCTCCAATAAGACCCCACCTCCTAATAGCATATTCAGCTATTAGTTCATCAAAGAATTAATCCACTGATAAATACCATGTCCCTGTGATCCTATCACCTTCCCAAAGTTCCACCTCTGAACCATGAGACTTTGGGGCAATATTTTAGATCTAAACCATAACAAGTAACTTTTTTAACAAGTAACTTTTTTCTTTTCTGTTGTTATTGTTTCACATCTTTTTTTTTAATAGTGCATGCTGGTTATACAGATTAATGGGTTTCATGTAGGCAGAGTCATACACACCCATAACATACTTTGATCATTTCACACACCCCCAGTTTCACATTGGGAAGGAGTTTTCAAAGATATACTTTTATAACATCCATTCCCTTTGTTATCACTGTTTTAGAGTATACTCTTACTCATAAAAAAAATTTTACTGTAAAACATTACACCATGATACATTGCCAATAGTCTCATATATCATGTTTACTGCATCTCTTAATTGAATCAAGAAGCCATGTCAAGTGATTGACCTATATCACCTAGGTTTGTGTAAGTACATTCTATGATGTTCTCACAATGATGAAATCACCTAACATCCTGTTTCTCAGGATGTATCCCCTTCATTAAGCAACACAACCATATTATATTAAGATAAATTATTAAATCAAAGCATAAAAGAATACATAGAGTCATTCTCCCTTATCAGTTATTTCACTTTCTTAGTTTCAGTTACTCCAGTCAACTTTGGACCAAAAATACTAAATGGAAAATTTCAGAAATAAACTAAGTAATAAATTGCATGTCATTCTGAGCTGTGTAATGAAATTTCATGCTATCCCTCTCTGTTCCACACAGTGCATGAATCACCTCTTTGTTCAGCATATCCAAGCTGTATATGCTACCTGCCTGTTAGTCATTTAGTACCCATCTGAATTATAAGATTAAAGCAGTATCACAATGCTTGTGTCCAAGTTAACTCTTACACAGTGCCCTAAAGTATTCATTTTTGTCACAATTCCTGTATCACTCCTCTCACTTCATTTGGTCAGGAAAGCACTGTGTCATCTCTTATCATCACAAGAAAGAGGAATACATTATAATAAGATATTTTGAAGAAGGGAGAGGGAAGGAGAAAGAGAGGCCACATTCACAGAACTCTTACTAAATATATTGTTGTATTTCCTCTATTTCATTATTGGTGTTCATTTCTTACTGTATCTATAAATTATAAATTAAGCTTTACCATATAGGATTATATGGTAAATTATAAATTATAAATTAAGCTTTACCAGTATAAGAACAAAACATAGTATAGCCATGTGCTGCTCAATGACACATCCTGAGAAGTGTGCTGTTAAGCAATTTCAACACTGTGTGAACATCAAAGAACGAACTTCCAGAAACTACAGTTATGATGGACCACTGAGGTGTATATATAGTGCACTGTTGACCAAAACATCATTATATACCAAATGACCATATAGATAGTGTTCAGTACTATCTGCAGTTTCAGGCATCTACTAGGGGTCTTAGAACATATCCTCTACCAATAAGAAGGGTCTACTGTATCTACACTGTGCTACCCTTCATATAAGAAAGAAGATATGAGAAGATACACACAAACACACACAGGGCCGGGGATTTAGCTCAGTGGTGCTACCGCCTGCCATGCAAGCGCAAGGTCCTGAGTTCGATCCCCAGTACTAAACACACACACACACACACACACACACACACACACACACGAAAAAAGAGAGATAAACCAGAAGTTAATGAGATCGGTTAGTTAAAGGAGGTAAGTAGAAATGAGCTAAAAGAAGGGGAAACTGGTAATAGGACAGAAAGGATGAAAGAAAATGACTGTTCCAAGTATATCCTGAAAAATGAATGGTCACTGAGTATAGTTCTGACTCTTAGAACAATGGTAATGCTTCACATATCCCCCAGAATAAACAGTTCAAATCAACCAGAATATGAGAACTCAAAACAAACTGAAAATAAAACCACACTGTAGAAGATACAGAAGAAAAAAAATCTAACTTTAGAAAACAGTATTTTCGTGCTTGCTTCACAGCACATATAATAGAAAACAGTATTTTGTAAAGATGAACACCAAAAACCTTTATTCAGTATTTTATTCGGGTTAGTAAATTTATGTTTCCAAATGGTATGGGTTGGCAATTCCAGAACTACTTTATGTGTACACTAAGATTAAGTAGATAAGTAAACATATTGAGAAGAATGAGGCACAGGTAATGGTAAAATAAACCAATATGTGTTAATAAAAAAGATAAGGATAAAAATTTTTTTAATTGGTTCAAAACCCTTTCACGTAGGGCAGACAGAAATTAAATAACTGAAGGCATTATGTGTTCAGTGTTTCAGTTACTATTGTCTTTCAAATTATTCTAGATATTTAATGCAATTTCAATCAAAATTCTTGTGAGACTTTTTTTTTTGGTACTGGGGATCGAACTTGGGACCTTGCGCCTGCAAGGCAGGCGGCAGAACCACTGAGCTAAATCCCCGGGACCCTCTTGTGAGACTTTTAGAGAAATTTAAATCTGTTTTAAATTTCACTTGAAAGACTAAATGTATAAAAATATCCGGCAAAAAATTTTAAAAAGAGAGCAGTACATGCCTTCCCACATAGCAAAGTGTACTGTAAAACTATGATAAATAAGACTATGTGATATTGATAATGGAAAGCATAAATGAATCAGAACAGAATAGAGAAGAACAGAGTAGAATACAGTAGAACAGAATAGAG